GTCAGGGTCCAGCCAGGCCCAGGTCCCGCCCTGCTGTTTGGTGTCCACATCCCTGGCAGGCTCCCTGTCTAGGCACATGTAGGGCCCGGCGGCCCCTCCCTGCTCCTCCCCCACCTCAGAAGCCCAGGGAGCTGAGCCGCCGCTTGGCCACCCGGCCGTCCTCCCTTGAGGTTGCTGTCAGGCCAGAGAGCTGCAGTTGCCCGCAGACATCTGAGGCCAGCTTCCTGGGGGCCCCACCCGGCCTCGGTGTCCTGCAGCTCCCAGTCAGCGGGCAGCCCTGGGGGCCTTTTACACCTGGAGAAACACCGGGAGGCAGTCCACTCCCCTTTTACTCTGAGCTGTGAATATTTTTAACCCTGTATATATGGCCAGCTCTTCTGACACAGAGACTATTTTACCAATTGTCAGTCCCCATCCCTGTAGGATGGCTCTCCATGGGTGTTTCCAGACTCAGGCTCCAATGGACCAAATAAAAATGTTTTGTTTTGTAACAACGCCTGCTCGTCTGTCTGCTGCCCCTGCCAGGGTCCCTGGCCCCTCCCCTCCCTGTGCAGGCAGGGCTGTGCCGAGGGGCACCAGCCTGCCCGGTGGCAGCACCTCACTTGAGGGGGGCTTGCCAGCTGCCTGCACGTCGGAAGGGTTGGGGCTGGGGGTCCGGGCAGGGCAGAGGCTTGGGGCAGACCTTGGGGCTGCCACGGTCAGCAGGCGGATCCCACGCATACAGCACACCCTGCCACGGTCAGCAGACCGGTCCCCACGCACACAGGACAGTACTTTTCCCTGTGGAATCTGCTTCCAGGGGTCCCGTCTGAGCCCGTCAGGCTCGTTAGGCGGGAGCAGATGGAGTGAGGGGCTGCACCGGGAGAAAAGTTTCCGTCTGGGACGGCAGCTGTCCTGCTCCTGCTCGGCCCCAGCCAGCCCACGTCCCCTCCTGCCCATCCTGGGAGGCCCCATCCCCGTGTCTCAGGTGGCGGGCCGAGGCGGGCGTGCCGAGTGGCTCACCGGGCTGCAGTTTGCACAGCGGGGGCCGCCCCCCCACACACACACACCCAGAGGCTGCGGTGAGGGGGGGGGGGCTGCACAGGCCGGTGCTCGGGCGGGTGTAAGAGGCCTGTCACAGGCCAGCCTATCGAATGTGAAAGCAATTAAAGCCACCAGCAGTGTTCGCTCCGGGCGGGCCTCGGGCAGCGGGGCAGCTGCCACAACACATCTCACGGGCGCCCTGCTCCACCACGGCTGCGCCGGCCACACTGGGCCTCATCCTGTGGGGTGGGGGCCCAGGCGCGTCCACCTTGAGTTGGCACGCGGCTGGCCCTGTCACCCCTGAGGTGTCCCAGCATCCTGGGCCACGTCCCTCCCTGGGACAACCCAGGAAGCAAGACGTGAGGACAGCGGGCTCCTGACATCCTTGGGTCCCGCCAGGCCACAGTCTCCACACGAGGCCGGAGTTGGGGGGGGGGGGGGGGCTGGTGTGTGCCCACCCCCTCCCCTAGAACCCCAGTGTGCACGAGAGGAGGCTCTAGCAGGGAGGGGGTGGTAGAAAGAGGGGCCACGTGGCCCCAGCCTGAAAGGGCACACGGTGTCTGGGAAGGAGTTGGGGGACCCCATAGTCCAGACCCTTAGTTTTGATTCAGGAGCTCACAGGAGGTGCTGGAAGGGGGTCGAGGTGGGCGCTTGGCCAGGATCAGGGGTGTGGACTTAGCCACCAAGCCCTTGGCCGTGGCTGGCCTCACCTGGACCCCAGGGCCACCGAAATGGGGAGCGGGCGCAAGGCCAGAGGCCGTCCCCCTTCTGTTGGGTCCCGGCTCCCCACCTCAGCCCACTGCCTCCTGTGTCTCCCACCCTCTGGCCGCTGAAGCTGCTGGTCCTGGGCCCTCCTCCCCATCTCTGCCTGCCAGGTTGGCCTTGGGCCTCCCACAGCCCTCTCTCCTGGCCTCCCGGCCAGGCCACCTCACTGCCCACACGGCCACGGCGGCCTTCTCCAGGCGGGCGGTGGTGTGTTCTCACTTGTGAAGCGTCCCTGTCAGAAGCACTTAGTGTACAAATTAGCCGCGGCCTCCCGCCTCCCTCTGCACGGCTGTGGGCGCCGGGCTGACAGGGCCGAGGCTCCGGGCGCTCTCCCGCCTGCCCCGGGCGCCCACACAGCCCGCGTGCACCCCTGGCCGCCCGCCCACGACTGAGCAGGAGGGCTGTTTCTTGCCAACCAGCCAGGGGTCCTCCCGGGGCCCCCGACCCTGACCTGGCCAGGGAGAGGGGTGGGGGCACCGCAACAGGGCAGGGCATTCAGCAAGATCCCGGGGGTCCCAAGCTCAAGGCCCAGCACTTGGACCTACCCCAGAGTTGCAGGTCCAGTGTTGAGAGCCTTGGGGGGGACCTAGAGCCGGCACAGAGGCTCGGCAGCCCCCACCTGCCCCTCCTGTTGGCTGGCCTGCCACTCAGGCAGGGAAAATCATGTGTGACAGGCCCAGGAAGGCCGGGCCCGGGGGGCCGCGGAGCGACGCACATAGCTCCTCTTCCAACATATGGCTGCTGTCGGCCCCAGGCGCTGCTCGGCCGACGCCGGCTTGGGAGCGGGTGGGGGCTCCGGAGGCCCGAACCTCTCATCCCACCCGTCTGGCCACACTGCTCCCTCAGAGATCGGAAAGGCCCCTGCCTTAGCTCACATGCCTCCCGTGACAGGGAGATCACTCCTGCTGGACCTCTTCCCTGTGCCTCCAGGGAAGTGTCCAGGAGCCCCCCTCCCCCTTCCCGGCAGCCCGAGGCACACAGCCACCCCATGCCCTACCCCCAGGGGACCAAGGATCTAACATGTCTGGGGACTGATCCGGGGGTGGGGGGGGGAGTGCGTGGGGGTTTCCAGGAGAGGTAGCCCGCAGCTAGGGGCACAGGCAGGCTGGGGCTGCCGCCGGACCGTCCTCCACAGGCCCGGGGGAGCTGGAGCCAGAGGGCCTCTCCTGGGGACCCTGGGGCCAGAAGTTTCCTGGCTGGGCCAACTCCCTCAGGGTGGGCCCGCTCTGCTCCCCAATTCCTGGTCCCGTTTCAGTGGCCCCCTCATGGACTCTCCAAGAATTCCCCAGGCCTGGCACATGTCCCCTGTGGGCCACACTCTGCCCAGCCCTTGTTAAGCCTGCACCGCGGACCCCCAGACCCGCTCACAGCCCTGACCACGTCACATCCCTGGCTCTGCTGCTCCCCTCACAACCCCACCGTGAGCCTCCTGTGGCTCCCTAGTGCTTTTCGGGTCAGCAGCCACAGGCTAGCCTCCGGGGCCCTCAGGTGTGACGCTGCCCCTTTTGGCCAAGCCCTGGGCCCACCCCTTTTAGCCGGGAGTCCCCGAGTTTCACCTCCAACGGGTGAGAAGGAAGAAGTACCAAGGATGATCCATGTTCTGGGATCAAGGGGCTCCTGCATGGTGCCACCCCTCTCAGGGACTCTGAACCCCTGCCTGGGGGCTCCAGCTCCTAGATCTGTGTTCCCAGCACAGGCTGGCCCGGCCCCTATACCTGTCCTGGGGAGGGCTGTGTGCCGACACTGAGAGAGTCAGACAGGCCCGCCGTGGGCACTGCTCCACTGCCCCCTGCCTGGCCCGGCCCCGCTGTCCGTCCTGACTGCTCGCCCCCCGCATGGATGTACCAGCATTAATAGAGGTGACAGGCGGACAGCCGCGGGCCAGCCAGGCAGAGAGGAGGTCAATGGCCAAGATGAGGCTCTGGCAGGGATCAGATGGAGGGGTTGTGGGTCCCCACTGCACCCTATGCCAGCCCCAGCTGAGGACAAGGCTGCTCCCCAGGCCCCCACTGGTGCCAGAAGCACCCAGAGACCAAGCCTCCCGTCACCCGCTCTGCAAATGAAGGGAACACGACAGGTGTCTCAGAGCTCAGGGCCACATGGATGACCAAGCCCCAAAGCCACAGGGGTCCCTGTCACTGCCTCAGGGGGCAGGAGCTATCTCTGCAGGCCCAAGCTCTTCCCAGCACGCGTGGGGCGGGTCCCAGTGGGAGGTGTATGACCCACCCTCACTCCCCACTCCTGAGTGGAAAGTGTGACAAGCCACGGGCACGAGGTGTGCCGGCGACAAGGGAGCAGACGTGCCCCAGTGAGAACACCTTGGGCAGAGGGCACGGGGGTGCGAGGGGCTGGCATCAACGTCCCTGCCTTGCCTGGCCGCAGGTGCTAGGGAAGCTCATATGTGCCCCCGATGGGCCGGCTTGACTCACACTCCCACGCAGAGGTATTGGGTTGCAGCCACAGCTGGTCTCCAGGGACCACCCCTCCGCAGACCCCTCCTGGAAGCTCAGAAGTGCACAGGAATCATGCCCCTTAGGGCTGGGTTCCTCTGGAGGTGCCCCCACCCCTCCTCTTACTTCAGCTTCTGGAGAAGCCCGTCCGTAGCAGTGGCCTCCACGGCTGGTCCCCAGGCATATCTTCCTGGGCCTCCTTGGTCACCTGGGTGTCCCTGGCTGCCCTCTCTGCATGCCGGAACGAGGGCTTCCTGATCCACGTCCTTCCTTCCCCAACCAGCCCATCCCCTGTGCTGGAGGCTGTAGCCTCTCCCAGACCCTCAGAGGGGTCAGCCAGTGAGGTGTGGGGAAGCACAGAACTGTCCCGGGAACAAGTGGCCAAGGCCTGGGACACCCCCCACCACCACCACCACCACCACGCTGTCTCTGGGCGATCTGTGCCCCTGGCTCCCTTGGGGCCGTGCCTGTGCCTGTGATGAGGGGCCCAGGCCTGGCTGAGCACATCCAGGGGTCTGAGCACAGAAGGAACAGGCCTCCTGGCCTCCTCTCTCCACAGGGCTGCTGGCGTGACGGCCGCTCAAGCTGTCTCCCGGCCTAGGGCTGCCTGCACGGTCAGCTGGTCAGCTGGGCCAGGCCAGGCAGGCAGAGAGGAGAAGGCTGGCGTGCCGTGCCGCCCAGCCCCCAGCCCTGCCCCTTGGACTCGGTGAGAAGTGGGTCCCCTCAGGCGGTGTCAGGGAAGGTGACGCTAGGGCAGAAGGGAGACAGACCGCAGGACCCTATTTCCTACAGATGCCTGTCGTACCTACCAGAGCCCCAGGAGACCCGCGCCACCCTCCTGCATAGACAGGGAAACTGAGGTCAGGCTCCCGGGGTTCCAACTCTGGATCCAGTGCTCTCCTCTGTCTGCCCCACTTGAGGGATAACACTCAGAGGCCCCTAGAGGACACTCCTTCCTTCCCCCAAGGTGCTCCTGCCCCCCAAGTTTAGCGGGGGATACCCCAGGAAACCTATGCCTGCTTCTGTGCCCCCACGGTGCTGGCCTGGAGCCTCACTCCCGTTCTGGCTGCAGACCCCATCCTGAACGTGAAACGACACGGTCACACGTGTCCCCCAAACACAGGCGAGACTCCCTGAGAGAGACACAGTCCGGCCCTGCCCCAGCGAGTCTGCGTTCGCATCTGGAATGGGACCCGCCAGTCAGGTGAATTTCTACGAGGATTTGGCTGAGAAGTGGGACCCCTGACCGTTACGTTTCGGCAGCTTGGGGAGCAACGTGGCCTTTGGCAGCTGGGAGGGAAACAGGTCTGGCCGTGAGGACATTGGGGGCAGGGGTCTTAGGGTGGCTCCTGGATACCCAAGCCTTTCCCCCGCCCCCACTCTCACCCCAGGTCCTCCCGGGAGGGATGGCCAGCGAGGACCAGTCCTGAAAACGCAGAGGCAGGCCTGGGCACCCGTCAGGGTGGTGAGGAGTGATGTTTACGGAAAAGGGGAAGCAAGCCCATGGTGGCCGTCCCTTCCTGAGCCCGTAGCCATCAGGGGGCAGGGCAGGGGTTTACAGGGTGCAGACCCGTTCAGCCTCCTGCTCAGAGGAGAGGACACATCTCTGGAGTCAAGTCTCGGCCAGGGACAGCTGGCGGGGAAGGGAGGGTTGCCGCACTGTCTGCTGCCCGGCTCCGGGCTCCAGCGCTCTCAGGGCTCAGCTCCCTCTCGGGGCTGGTCTGGGCTCCCATCCCATCCCTGGCCGGGCTGCAGCCCTCCCCAGGCTGGCTCCTGGCTCCCCCTGTCCCAGGGCTCAGCCTCCAGGCTTTGGCTCAGGAGGGCGGCTGTCAGGGGCCAGAGCCCTGCCCTGACGGATGAGTGCTGACGGCGCCTCTCCCCGCGCCCTCGGCCGCTGACACCCCGTCACGCCGCTGCGGGGACCCCGGGAGACCTGGCCGCCTCTGCGCACCCCCGCAGCAGCCCGCAGGCGACGGGGGGCGGGGACGGTGCCAGGAGCCCCTCATTCGGCCGCACACCTGCGCCCGCACCGCCGGCTCCTCCACGCCGCTCCCCGTCCCTGCCGGTGTCACCGGCCACCGCTCGACCCAGGAGTGGCCGGCGCCGCGGAGCGAGGTGAGTGCGGCCAGCGGGAGACGCGGGCGGGGGCACCTGGGGCGGCCCCGGGGACGCCGCTCCCCGCGCTGGCGCGTCCCCTCCCGCGTGAGCCCGGGTCGGAGGTCTCGGCGCCCCCCGGAGCCGGCGGCATAGCGCACGCCCCCCAAGCCCCCCCCCAACTTC